CGGCTGCTGCGTGAGCCTGGCGTTATCAGCCCCTAATCGAGGGGCTGCTATTGATGTCACAGCCGTTTCCCTGGCAACTGTGGGGGCTCATGACGAGCCACATGCAGCCGTCCCTGTGCCTCCCGGTGACCAGCGCGTCTGGGTCTGTCCGGTGCCCCGTAGCACGTCTGTGTTGCGTGCGGGAGAGGAGTGTGACTGGCCGACGGCCTGTGGCACTGCCCTGACTGGCCCAGCACACGCCCGTCCAGCACCGGTGTGAGGAGCCGCCGTGGGGTTGCCTCTGGGCAGCCTCTGCTCTTGGCGTGCGCAGGCCACTCTGAAAGCCAATGAGAAGCGATGGCTCCTCCCACTTTCCACAGCCTGTAGGACTCGGGGGAGATGGCCAGAGGCCGGGGTGAAGAAGGGCCCACCTGGCCCTCTTCCCTTCCTGTGCCCTGAACTGGCCTGACCTGTCCTCTGTTGCCCCCCCCCTTCTTCAGGCACACTCAAGCCCCATTTAGAAGTAACCTCTTCTTGACCCTGACCTTCATCGCACGCCAGGGGCATCCTGGAAAGCAGAAAGCTGGGCCTGGAGTCGGAGCCGTTCCGGTCCTGGCTGTCCCCAAACGGCTTCCGGGCCTCGAGCGTGACACGGTCTCCGAGTCGCCACTTCCTCCCGCTCAGGGGGCCCTGCTGGACAGGACGCGCATGATGGGTGCCGAGGGAGCTCGTCCTCGGCCAGGTCCTGTGATGCCGCCGCCGTCCTGGGCCCGCGCCCTGCCCCTCCGCCCTGTCCCCTGCGCCTGCCCGTGGCCCCTGAGCTCTGGCTTCCGTCTCCCGCTCAGGACCTCGTCTACTCCAGCCCGGTGGCCATCGCCCGCAAGGTGCTGCTCGTCCTGAGGGCCTTTCTGAGGAGGAATGAAGGCGCCCAAGTGGATGGGCTCATCCGTGGCCACTTCCTGCTGATCCTGCAGCGCCTGCTGGTGGAGCGTGACGCCTCCCCGGCGGGAGGTCCGTCCGCGTGCCGCGTTTCACCTGGAGGTCCTCTGGAACGGGCAGTGTTGTCCTGAGATTTGCTCTGTGGTGGGAATAAGAGCTTTCTGTGCAAACGAAGTCGGGCCAGTGTGGCTTCAGATTCAGCTTTACCTCCTGCCTCTCACCGAGAGCAGGCGCTTAGCCCATGTGGCTGTGTGTGGTGTGTGTGCAGCATGGGTGCGTTTGATGAGTGTGTGAGCCCCCACACGCCCTGCAGTGCCCGCGCTCAGAGCTGCTTGCCTCAAGGATGGCAGCCCTGACGGGGAGAAAAAACAGAATCTGGGGGAGGGGGGAGGGAGGGGCTGCAGCCAGCAGGGGTGGGGGGAGCCACTGGGTGCCAGCGCCCTGGGAGAGCCAGCTGGGTCTGCAGACTTGGCACGGATCCCCTGTAGTGGGCACAGCAGGGAGACACTGAGGAGGTTAGGATCGGTTTGTCTTTTCCAAGTTTCAGAAAGTTAAGTTTTTAAATTAACCTCCAGGCAGTTACGGGGAAGGCGGGAGAGCTGGGCAGCGCTTGTCCCACTGGACTGTGGATGGGGGTTCAGCGGGCTGCATCCGGCTGCCTGGAGGGGCTCAGTCCTTCCTTTGTGGCGAGGGCCAGCCGCGCTCACCTGAGAATAGTGCTCGAGGACCTTGAGCTTTTGTGGCGACACCTAGTGGACAGCAGCCAGGTGTCCACCACGGGGTGGACTTCACCTGTCCGGCTTCACCTGTCCTCACACAGAGTAGCAAGACTCCCTCATGCCCAGGGCTTTTGAGGGAGTGAGTGAAGTGATGACTTCCTGCGGCCCAGCCAAGCTGGCACTCGGCGGGCCCGCCTGTCCGCGAGGGAGGCGGGCAGCAGGAAGAAGGGGCAGCCCCAGGACGCGCCCTGTGGGGGCGGGAGGGTGCTGCTGGCCCTGGCGGGCTGAGCAGTGGCCCACGGCCTGTCGCCCCTCGCAGCCTCCGGGAACCTGTCGCTGCTGCTGAGCCTCCTGTCCCTGATGCAGCTGCGGAACCAGCCGGGGCAGGAGCTGGACAGCTTGGCCACGCAGCTCCTCCACCAAGGTGCGGTCAGCGCCTGGGTGTGCCGGTGCTGCTCCCCCCCTTCCTTTGTCCCTCAGGAGAGGCTCTGGGGTCAGTCTTCCTGGGCTTCTTGCTACGGGACCTTGAGATCTTTCTGCCCATGCTTGGGGAGTGTCTGGGAGTTTAGATCATCGGTACATAAACCGACCCTCCAACCCACCCGGCCTGGGTAGGGCCGACGGGCCTGAGTTTGTTTTCAGCGTAGTCACCAGCTCCGCCACCTTGGCGCTAAGGAAGACGTAGGAGCCCCACCTCGGCCCCTCAGACCGCGGCCTGGGAAAGGTGGGGGCAGACGTGGCAGCCCCCCACGAGAGGGTTGGCGACGGGATCCCGAGAGGTCCCAGGCCGGCCTGGTGGCCAGTGCTGGCCCGTCAGCTCGGGGTGACCTTAGGCCGGGAGGGAGGCCTGTGTGATGAAAGCAGCGTGCCGAGGCTGACAGGGAGCAGCAGTGGGCTGCAGCACGCGGGTGTAAGGTGCGTGGTACGTGGGGTGCTTTTGTTTGGGAGCGTTGTGGCGAGAGGGCTGTAGTTTTGGGGCGAAGGGGAGGAGACCTACTTGTCTGGTTGACCACAGCCAGGTCTGTCTGGCAACTGCCCAAGAAGTGCATAGTGGCGACGGGGAGCTTTGAGGGGCGCCGTGGGGGTTCCCAGGAGAGGGCTGTGCTCTGCCTACGTCGGGGCCCCTCTGAATTTGGTCTCCTCTGCATAGGGGCTAAGGAGTCAGCGGTGGAGGTGCGGGAAGGGGAACTGCAGGGTGGCCGGAGATCCCTGGGAGTCCAGGGGCTGGCCCTCCCCCGCGGGGTGGCCTCCACGACCCCTGCGGCCCACCCCAGGCCCTGCCTCCAGCGAGGTGCCTCCAGAACTGCCGCGGCTCTGCACGTGCCCCTTCCACCGCGGTCGGGTCAGGGTGCTCGGCGTCTGTCCCGAGCCTGCCCTGGAGACTGGCCGGTGTGAGCGTGTGAGCGGGCGCGCAGTGCAGGCCTCCTCTCACAGTGAGCGAGCTGTGCGGGAAGTGCGGCCCCGCCGACCAGGACGTCCTGCAGCCCTCCTTCAACTTCCTGTACTGCAGCCTCCACCAGCCGGCGCCAGGCAGTCAGAGGAGAGGTGCGGAGCTCGGGGAGGTGCCGGGCTGTGTCTGTTGGCTCGGTTTTCCCATCTTACAAAAACGGAGTGGGAGCGTGGCTGGACGCAGTGGACACAGGCCCCTCGTGCTCCGAGGACCTTTGGTTCGGGAGCCCGCGGAGCGCTGCCTCGCCGGACTCGCTCTGGCTCGGGCCTCTCACGCTCCTCACCCTGCAGCTGCCGCGGTGCTCCTGAGCAGCTCGGCCCTGATCTCGCTTCTGGACAAGATGCTGGCGCGCACCTGGGCCAGGGCTGAGGCTGGCTCCCCGGGCCCCGAGCTCCTCGGCTCTGCCTGGCTGCTCGCCGCCTCCCTGGCTGCCCACCAGCGCCTCGGCAGCCTGCAGGTGGGTCTCCGGCCCGGTGGGTGGCTTTGCGGCAGGGTGGCGGCCCGCGGCGTGCTAAGAGCCGGAGCTCCGGGCGCAGCGTGGCTCAGCTGCTCTCCTGGGCGAGGTGGTTGGCCAAGTGTCCTGGTGAGGTATTTCACGCGCCGAGCTCCAGCTCCTCTTACGAAACAGCGGAGCCTGCCGGTGCTGCCGGTGGTCGTCTGGTTGGGCCACATCTAGCTTGCGTGGATCTGCACACCAGGCCGCGGTCCAGGCACAGGGAAGTACAGAATGAGAGCGCGTCCCTCCCCTCGCGACCCCCTTGCGGTCTTTAAGCACAGTTTAAAGATACGAAGGGCTGTAGCAGGGAGGGGCATTCGGGGGGAGAACAGTGGCCGGGCACCAAGCCGCGGGAGCGAAGGGTAAGCGTGGCGCTGGGAGAGTGGTGAGCAGCGGGCGGCTGGAAAGTAGGGTCGAACAGGATGGCTCAGACTGGACAAGAGGGCGCATGCCAGCCTGTGGCCACCCACGAGCCTGGGTGTCAGCGTCACTGCTGGAGAAGCGGCCAGGGCTCGGGAGAGCATCTCAGGCCACCCCACCCCGAACCGTGCGCCCGGTGCCCGCACGCACGCTCCGTGGGCCGCTTCCCACTCTCTGTCTCCTCTCTGAGCCCGGCTGCTCCCTGTGGGCCACGCCCCAGCCTTCCTGGTGCCCAGCAGTGTGCCAGTGTTAGTTTGGCCTCGAGGGTGGCAGCAGCTAGATAGGTCTGTGCCCTAGCGGATGTGCAGGTGTGGGCCGCGGGCTTGGTTGGGACCAGAGCCTGTCCCTCAGCTGGGGGGAGCCGCCCCTCGCCCTCACTCCCACCTGTCCAGCCCCTCCCGGCCACCTGCCTCGGGCCCTCCCCAGTGCCCTTGCTCTGGTTGTTTTCACCAGACAGGTCTGTCCGCATCCTCCGGCCACGGTGGCTGGGCCGGGCTCTGCCCTCATGCCTTCCGGCCTTTCTGTTCACTCCCCGGCCCCTGCAGCCTTCCTTTCTGCCACCTCAGCTGCCCCCCCCCCCGGCAGGTGGGGCCCTTCCCCAGGTCAGCGTGCATCTGACGCTGCCACACCTTCTCTTTGCTTTTTGGTTGACTTTCAACAGCCTTGACTTCGGGACAGTTTAGACTTACGGAACGGAGCAGATAGCGCAGCTCGCCCCCACCGAGCGCCCTGCCGCCCGTCTCTGCTCGCACCCTGTGTAGGGGGCATCTGCATCTTTGCCCAGAGCTGCTGAGCCCTGCGGGCATTTTGGGGGAGCTGTTCCGCGCTAGGCTGCTAGGTCCAGGCCGAGAACCCCTGGGCGCTGTGTTCTGGGTGAGGACTCGGAGCTCTGACTGCAGCTGCTCACCTCTCCGGGGGGACCCTGCTTTGACCCCCGACCGCTCTCACCACAGCCCTGGAGAGTGAAAGCAGGTGGCGCCGGGCCCATTTCAGAGATGGAGAAAGTGAGTCAGGCTGAGAGGGAGCAATAAAAGTAACCAGCAATACAGAAAATACCAAAAGTAGGAAAGTAAAAAGGAAATGGGGAAACAGGAGGCGCCCTGCCGTCCCCCCAGGCCCACACTGGCAGGGTAGAGCTGGGGCTTTGACTGCGTTGTCTGACTGCAGGTCTGAGTCGGTGGATGGTGCGCGGCGGTGGAGGCCAGAGGCGGCCCTCGAGGGTCGGGGCGGCCTGGGGGAGGAGGGTGTTCCAGGGACTGGCTGGTTTCCTCCTCGTGCTCAGATCAAGGACTGGTGAGGCGCCGGGATGGCGTGTGCTCGGCTCCGTCCCGGACGCGGTGGGGGTGGGCAGGAGAGACGCTGGCGCAGGTAATGTTCTGTCCAGGCTCCCAGAGCGAGGCCAGCCCTTTCCCCCTGCCCTGCCAGGTTCACCAGGTGCTGTCCGTAGACCTGGGCCAGGTGTTGAAGGCCCTCAGCTTTCCACAGAGAAAGGCTGCCCTGCTCTCAGGTGGGCCCAGGACCTCCAGCCTGGGAAGTTTTCACCCTAGACTCTAGGCTGGGACACCCCACCCATACCAGCCTGTGGTCACCCCATTTTCCCTGTTGTATTCCCTGTGACAGCGGGGTGGGGGCAGGGAAGAGGTTGGAACTGGGTATGAGGAGCTTGTCACTTTCAGCTGCCATCTCACGCTTCCTGCGGACGGCCCTGCAGCAAAGCTTCTCCTCTGCCTTGGTGACTCTGGTGCCCTCAGAGATCCAACCCCTGCCAGCCTGTGAGGACTCTGTCCTAGCTCCACTGGGAACATCTCAAGTGCTGTCGCTGGTCATTGGACTGCAGAACCTCCTGGTGCAGGTAAGGCCGAGCTTCTCTCGGACAGTGAGGCAAGCACCCAGCCAGGCAGGCCCAGGGCCGATTCGGGCAAACAGAGGTCTTGGGGCCCTCCGCACATGCGACAGGCCTTTAAGGCTGCGGCAGGGGACCAGACACAGGCAGACCAGCTGGCAGGGCGGCGGCCGCCGAGTTCCTAGCCCTGTGGTCTCCGTGCTCCGCACGTTCCCTCTGGCGTCTCTCCCTCGGTCTCGCCTGTCCTCGGCGGGCGTTCGAGTGTTTGGGTCCATGCACCCTCGTGCTCGCCGACCGCTCGGCCCAGGTGTCTGAATCCTAGGCCCGCGCGCCCCATGCTCGTGTTCCCAGGAGCCTTTGCAATCACACAATGTCATGTGTGGGTAGCGAACTTTGGGAGGAAAACAAGGCCGCAGGTGGCAGCGTAGAGGCTGGAGGCGGGAGGGCAGAAAGCCGGACTGAGGTCATTTTCCTTACGGCAGCAACGGGAGGGGGCAGCTGTCGGGAGTCTGGTGTTTTCAGCAATTCCTGGGGTGGCTTGGGATTTACAAGGTTGCAGGGATAGAAAGGAAATTCAACTTGGCTTTTAACCGGAAAGCCCAGGGATCGTGCTAGACCCCCAAGAAAGGCCGGTCATGTGCTGTCCCCACCCCGAGGCTCTGCCTTTCCTTCTGACAGCTTTATTCTCGTGGGCAGCAGGAGGCCAGCAGAAGGGCCTGGCTTGCATCCTGCCAGCAGGAACTTTCCCTTCCCAGTGCCCAAGTGAGTCCCAGTAGCTGACCGTGGCCACGTGCCTCTCACTGGCCGGGGCCTGGCGTGGGCAGCAGTATCTCCTGAAAGCTGAAGCCTGTGGCCAGCTCGCCACAGCCCATGCAGACTGAGTATCGAGAAGGCTGGGTCCTGCAAGGACCCTGTGACAGGAGGCGGAACGCGCCTGAGCCTGCAACAGAAGACGCCCCTCCGGCCTCGTGGGTGTGCGTTGCCGCTTGGTCCGCTCTCGGATGTCCGTGTCCAGCCTTCACCTGTGTGAAGTGTGGTGGGGCGTGGGGGGATACTCCTGCCTTTGAGGAGCTAACACCTACTCAGAGGTGTGCGTGGGGCGGGGCCGTGGGGTGCAGCCACGGAGACCCCTGGGAGGAGAGCCAGAGGAAGCACAGAAGGGCTCAGCCAACGTCACCGGGAAGTGCAGCTTTACGCCGGAGACGTGTGAGGAGCTCGGTGCCGCCACTGGCTAGCACCTGGCTACACGTCTTTCTGGTCATAAAAACATTACCACATGTCTAACAGCCCAAAGCACTTCCAATCCCCAGTAATCATCTGTAGGCATTCATTCTCTACCCCACTTTGCTGTCGAGCAGGGTCCCGGGTAACTGGAGCCCTCAGACAACCCAGGAACGAGGTGGATGCCCGTCCTTGGCAGGACGCCCCCCAGGATGGGCCGGGCGGAGGTGCTGATGACACTAACAGGATAGCGGGGTGGGGAAGGGCGACTGGAGAACCCGGAGAAAATCATCCAGTTTGCCCTTTTATAGTAGTTCCTTATTCATCCTGTCATCCTCCCATTCAGCGCTCCACAGTGACCCCAGACTGGGAAGCCCCTCCCCACTCGGCCCCCCCAATGGCTCATTCAGCCCCGTGGTGAGGACAGTACTCGCCCTACTTTATCAGGTGGCCAGTGGTCTGTGTGCCTTACAAAGAAACGTAAATTTCTTTCAGGCAACAACTTCCCTTAGGGGGGTGGTGACATTTGAACTCTAGCCTACAGGGTGTCTTGGTTGAGGTAGAGGTAAAGGCATTCCAAGCAGGAAAGCCAGTGCGAACAAAATCATGTGACAGGGAAGTCGGGTGGCGAAAGTGTGAGGTGTGGTCCCAGGAGATGACATGGAAAGTCAAGGCAGGCGCCAGAATGGCCTTAGGTGGAGGCTCAGCGCTGGGGCAGTCAGGGACGGACTCCATCCCACAAGGAGGGGCTGTTTTGAAAGTTCGCCGAGGCAGCCAAGGGAGGGGAGATGGGTAGGCAGAGAGGGCCGGGAGGCCAGGGAGCTGTTGAGCAAGAGGCTGCTGCAGTGACCGAGTGGCTGAAGGCCCACGCTACCCCCTGGGATGGCTAAAGCAAAGCACAGATAACACCAAAGACCAAATGATGTGTGGAGTAGAGGAAGGTCCGTGTGCAGCTACGTGGAACAGCCTGGAGGTGCTTCAGAATACTCCATAGATTTCTGCTTTTTGGTAACTGCTCAAGAAAACTGAAAGCATCTTCCACTCAAATGGGTGCATAAAACTTGTGTAAAAGTTCTTAGTGGTGTAACCAAACCGGGGCTTTCACTCAGGCCCAGAAAGCCAAACTCTGAATCTTAATTGTCTTCACACAGGATTTTAGTCATCAAGGGAGTCACGGGATAGGCACCCCAAAACACCCAGCTCTCCGAATGGCGGGAGTGTGGGGGCGAAGGGCAGAGGAACGTGAGGGTGTTCAGGGCACCCCCACAACGGGCTGCCTGCAGGCCCTCACCCGCACCTCAAGGGACTTACAAGAGGCAGCTGCAGGCGCACACGCGAAGGTTAATAAAGGGTTTATTTACAAAAGAAAACAAACAAGGGAAATAAAGAAACAATCCCGGAGAAAGAGGGAGGTGCGTGGGGAATGCGTCCCACCAGTAGCCCTGACCTAGACCCCAGCAGCACACTGGCAGCCGGGGGAGGCCGAGTCAGGCCAGCAGCCGAGCGCCCCCAAGCCTGTGCGTCCGTTACTGGAACGGGCTGCTTACCTCCGCCCTCGGCCAGTAGTTCTCCCTTGGGTGATGGTGGGACCTGCAGTTCCCGGTGTCATCTCAACCTGTGCAGTTCATCCAGAGCGGGGAGCAGAACAGGCAGATGGACAAAGCACACTGCTGAGGGGAGCAGCGGGCGGGTCAGGAGAGGTCTGCCGCGCCCTGTGGGTCTCCTCCAGGGCGGGGATGGAACTTGTGCTGAGGTGGCTGCAGCTTGCCGCTGGCTTCATAGTGCTGCACTTTACCATTTGCGCCACCAGCCACCGGCGAGGGCCCCAAATTAACTTTTAAAAGGATGATTTTTATGGTTAGTAAAATCCCAGTGAAGCTGTTATCTTTTAAAATGGTATGAAAGGATGAAAGATGAAAACTAGGTCACTGGCTGTCACACGCCCAGCACCTCTGGGCCAGAGTGGCACAAGTCCGCAGCCCGGGCCAGGTGGTGAGCAGTCTGTACAGTCATTAGCAGCCTTGGGGGGTGCAGTGCAGGCTGTGGAGGGTGCCGGCCGGATCCACACGGCATGTGAGCCACGCCCAGCTGCGAGCTGGTCTAGCCAGTCACTTCCTCTGACAGATTCACTTTTCCTCATGCACAAACACAAGGGGTCTTTGAGCACGAAGAGGAAGTACACGAAGTCCTCACCACTGTGACTTTAATCAAAAACAAACCACCCTCCCAACACAATGAAACCAGGGCCTTGTTTTGTTCAACAGCGCCCAGGATTTCTCTCTCACCAGTGTCACAATATCCAAGGGCCCGCGGTACACAAATCTGTGTGGATCTGTTTGCATTTCTCGTGGGTACACACCCAGAGTGTTGCCAGTTTTCTGTTGCTGGGTAACAAGATACTGCAGACACCTGTGTCACCCACGACTATGCCAAACATGGGATGACATGTAGGGTCTCCCAAGGCTGAAACCCACTTGTTCCTCGGGGCCCTCCTCAGGGCTGCGAGGCTGCCCACGGTCTGCCCAACAGCCTCCCCGTTGTCGCAGCAGCCACACGTCAGTCCTTACACTCCACCCTTGTCAGTTCTGCCAGGAGCCAGAGAAACTGCTTTTAAATCTGCTGCAGTGACTAGCTTGGGCCCCTCTGAGAAGCCCTTCCCAAGCCGTGTTAGGTCATCCCAGGGTAGCATTTGGGAGCAAAGGCCACAGGCGTCGCGCAGTCCTGCCTGCCTATGGGAGGTCTGTTTCGTGGATAAGCAGCCATCCCACCTTCTCCACTCCAGAGGGCCGCCCCGCCCCGCCGCCCCGCCAGCGGCCTGAGTCCCAGTTCTAGCTCACACCCCGGCGCTGTGCCTGAGACGAGGTACTGGCAGTATGTCGTGGCAGCACGTGGTGACTAACGCGCTTCCCGAATGACACGGTGAGATCATTAGAGCTCTGTGGTATTTGAGGAAACATTCTGCTGCCTGAGGTAAACTATAGGCTCTCACAGTCCGTCATCTGTGAATCGCTTCTGGAGCCAGGGCCGATCTCCTTTGCTGCGACAAAGCAGCCTCCAACTGCTAAATGGCCAGTGTGAGCAATTGTTGGGTGTGGGTGAGAGGAAACCTGCCATCAGTTCTGTTTACCTACAGGGACACGATCCCAAGTCTGAGATTCTGAAATCCAATGTGAAATTACTCTGAAAATCAAATGTCAGTTCTGAGTTGGCCCAGGGCTCAGCGGCAGCAAGACCTGCCACGAGTCCCGTGTGTGTTTTTTCCTGCAGAAGGACCCTCTGCTGCCCCACGCCTGCGTCGGCTGTCTGGAAGCCTTGCTTGACTACCTGCATGCGCGGAGCCCAGACATTGGTAGAAACCTCCCCATTCGCTGGTAGTTTTCAGCCCCGGCCACCTTCCCACTCTACCCCACCTGCTCTGTATTCACAACCACGTTGCCGAATGTTACCACCACCGCGAGAACATGCTCACGCGCGTGTGCGGTGAGGCCATCGGCTGAGGTCGAGGGGCATGTCCAGCCTGCCCCTCCCCACCCCGCCGGTGGATGTGTGGTCTCACGGGGCTAAGCAGCAGGGGTGGGCAGAAGCCCAGGGGAGAAAGAAGCCTGCCAGGGTCAACTTGCCCAGCACCTCGCTTGCAGCCGAGCGGCCGGTTTTGGGGCCAGCAGCTAAGGTCCTCTCTGCAGTGCTCGAGGCCTCTGGGAAGCAGCACTGACACCCACAGTGGCTGGTTTCCCATAGCGTGCCATGTGGCCTCCCAGCCCTGGAATCGGTTTTTGCTGTTTACCCTCCTGGACGCCGGCGAGAACTCCTTCCTCAGACCTGAGGTCTTGAGGCTCATGACTCTGGTAGGTGAAAGATGGCCTTGTGGTCTGGAGGACGTCATGAGCTGGGTGGTCCTGAGTAGCACAGGGACACCTTCCTTTAGGTAACCCTGAGTCTTCACCAAAAAATGGAGGGGCTGAGTAGGCTGTCCCCCACACGAGACCTGCTCAGGAATGCTGCTACTTGCCCAAACCTCACCCTGGAAAACCCTGCCAGTCGGGAAACATTGACCAGACCGTGCGCTGGGTTCCAAAGAGGCCAGTGAGCTAAGCTCAGTGAAGGAGGCAGACAAGCAAACTGGCTAAAATATGTCACTAGTGGCAGAGTAGGAGACAGGCTCAGTGTCTGGCACACAGGGTGCCCGCTGAGAAGACAACAAAGCCCAGAGCCCGCGAGTGATTGGTGAGCTGGTAACTGACTGGGAGGGAGAACGTGTGTGCACTCGGTTAACACCCATGTTTCTTCCCTGAAGGGAAGCGGGGTGGGCAGGGTGGACGCCATTTTAGCTGAGACTTGCAGGGCTGGCAGGTGGAGGAGAGGTACCCAGGTGGTGACGTGACGTGAGAACAGCAGCTGTGAGAGCACATGGTGGAGGTGCAGGCTGGGGGGTCATAGCAGGCCAACTCTGTCTCGCAGGCTGCCTCACGCACCCCACGCGCCCATGACAACCCCACCCTGCCAACCCCAAGCGCCTCTCCTGGAAGGCTGGGTCCGCAGGGCTTCAGAGCTGCGTCCGCAGCTGGGGCTGGGCGCGCAGGGGCCCAGGAGATGGGTCTGCAGAAGGAGCTGCTGCTCACGGTAGGGCTTCTCTCCCGGGCAGTTTGTGCGTTTCCGGAGCAGCACTGTCCTCTCTCCTGAAGAGGTGGCGCAGGTTCTGCGAGGCGCGGCTTTGGCTGACCCCTCTACCCTTCCGAATGCCACGCTCCAGGCGCTACACGGCTTCCTCCAGCAGGTGGGTGGGGAGGGGATGCTGCTGGGGAAGCACGCAAGGCCAGGTCCCCACACCCTGCCTGGAGGGTGGGGCTCCAATCACAGCAGCTGATGGCAGGTCAGGAAGGAGTGGGGGTTTGAGGGGTGGGCCTGTCTTCCTTCCTGCATCCCCTTTTAGGTCCAAAGCATGGGTCTCCTTGCCGATGACAGCACAGCCCAGACTCTGAAGGCCTCTTTGGAGGGCCTTTCCCCCTGCACTTCCTCTGCCCAGCCACCCCAAGACATGCTGTATCCTTTTTGTGCATCTGAAACCTTGGCCCGGGCAAGGCCACCCAGGCTGGGGGAGCCTGTGGCATCATGTGTCAGGACAGAGAATGCAGTGTCTGCGGCCCTGTCTTCTAAAGCAAGGGTAGGTCAGCAAGGATGATGAACTGTGACAGCAGTGACAGTGACATGTTTTGCTACCAGCTGCTCAGGTCTAGTCCCGTTACACGCACTGACTATTCCTAGCAACTGGGCTATGGTGGTAGGCCATGTGCCCAGGATCACAGGGTTTGACCTGGCATGTGCTGATCTCCAAGGCTTCCTGGACAGACTCAAGAGCGAGTCCTTCCCCAAGAGCCTTGGGCAAAGCTGCCCATCCGCACTACACGGTGCTGCCCTCAGCCCTCATGGAGAATGCTGGGTGACCGGCATGTCCAGGAGGAAGCCCTGGGGGAAGGGGTGCAGGATGCTTCCTCCCCTCCGCAGCCAGCTGCGCCCTGCACCCCTCTTCCTGTCCACACAAGTTCCCACAGTGTAGCCAGGGCCTGGTCCAGGTGTTCAGGCCCGGATGTCCGACTCGGGCAGGCTCTTAGGGCGCCTCTGTTGCGGCTGGTGCTTTTGGGCTCTGGAAGTGTGTTTCTCCATGACTGGCCTCATCCTTGCTGCTCGCGCTTTGCTGCTAGCTGCCTGGCAGGGGTGGCTGTGTCACTATCCCACATCAGGGACTGACCCTCAGGACTTGCAGGCCCGGAAATGGCGAGAGCTGAGACCTGGAGAAGACGTCAGGGCACAGCCGCTGGGGAGATGGGTGACGAGTGCGGCCGTTTCCTGGGCTGTGGTTGGAATGGAGCAATAAATGGATATTCACCTGCATGTGTGCATCTCCCAAAACACGCAACTAACTGGGCTCCGGCCAGCCCACTGGCCAATCTGCCCGCCCAGGAAAGGGGACGGAGTTGGTGCTGCTGAGAAAAAGCCGCGCTCGGGGACCCCAGGATGGGGCGCTCGGGGACCCCAGGATGGGGCGCTCGGGGACCCCAGGATGGGGCGGCAGCCCTCGCTGGGGCTGGAGGGCCGAGGCGCCGAC